GCATGCAACTCCCCTCCTTTCATGTCTCCTATCTCCAGCATTAGAGAAGTGGGATGGGACCAGACTGACTTCCAGTCTGGGTCCCTGGCTAGGCTTGAAGGTGTAGAGGGAGCATGGCCTTCATATCCACCCACAGGTTTGTAGTGCCTGGGGCCATTAGAGCCAGTGGAGAACTGCAATGGAACAACCCTGTCAGGTAGCTTGGGGTTGTTACCCCAGGAAAGGTAATAGTTTTAAATAAAGTTCCGGTCTCCATATTTAATCATATTGCGGTGTGTCTCTCTCATTATTTTCATGACCACGTCAATGAGTGGGACATATTAGTGATAGAAAAAATTTCCAAAACCCAGATCAGAACAAGTATGCTCTTAAACAGTGTTGCTGTAGACTAGCAGATTAAAAGAAACCAACCTATGGTAAAAGTTTGAGACACAAATGACATTTCCTATCTTCACCCCTCCCCATTTTGTTCTTCCCGTGCTCCTAAAGCTATCCAATACATGAGGTATAACTGCAAACTGCAAAGACAGGAACAAAGAAAAAACAAACACAAAAAGCCTAGAAAAATCACTGATACTGCAAGATATTTGATTGACGAAGGCAGGGCAGACACTGGAAACTATTCAGAGGTGGAGATAAAGAAAGAACAGAAACATGGATGCAAGGCTGTCATTTTTTTTTCATTCACACTTCTCTCTCAAGAGGCAGACAACATCATTTCAATCTGGACTGACTGAGCTAAAAATACAGAAGAATGCTATTACTAGAGGTGTTTGAAAAAGGGGAAGAATTTTTTTTTTTTTTTGCAACAAATTCATCTCTGCTTTGTCTAAAATCAGTATTTAGAAAACTTTAACAACTCTAGTTATTTTATTTACTTCCCACATATGTGATATCTTTCTGATTCTTCTTGATTTCCTCTGTCTAAAGTATGTAGTCTGCAATCCTGGACTGCCATTTCTAGAATAAGTGTATGAAAGATTGGGTCCAAGTCTTATTTTGCCTCTAAATGCTTTAACCCTAATCTAGTCTATCAAACAATTTTAATCCTCCTACTTCTTTCAGGATTTTTCTCCAGATGTACTGAATCATTATCAGCAAAACCAGAAAAATCATCTGAATTAGAATTTGTCACCTATGATTTGCACAGGAATTGAGAAGATTATACTTCATACACTGTCAAATTCAATATTAATGTCAATGATGAGAAGTACACCTGAATTAATACCAACAGTGACACAAATATAAGAGCATTGCTGAACAATGTTAATCCTCTGATATTATAATCCCAATATATATTATCAAAAGGATCTACAGCTGTACCACAAAATATGTAGCATAATACCTCTCTTGCTGGTAGATAAATATCTCTGACAAACTGCAGAATTTTCTACTATAACTACTATCTCTGAGAAGCAAGAGGAAAAGAAGAAATTGTTAGCATTCAAGTTCCCCCTTCTGAAAAAAGACACTGAATGATGGATGGTCTCAAATTAGACCAACAACTGAGTTTAGTGTAGACTGCAGTTCACATTTTTCTGCTGCTCTCTTCTCTGAGCAGATAAGTACAAGAATCTCTACAGTGTTTAGACAGCAAAATTGTTGGATATTTCATTATTTGGCCCGCTCACAAGACTGGAACAGATAAGACAGAGCTATGGGACAATAATGAACTGAACAAGAATATCAGCAGGCCATTGGGTTGCTGAGGTAGGATTGCCCAGCACAGTAATTAAACATTTTATTCATACTAAATCTATCATTTTTGGGGAAATTAAGGTATCAGTATGTCAAAGAGAATAAAATTTAAAGTAGGAACCTTGTTGGGACCATAAATCTTTACCCAGCCCTTTAAATCTAGAAAAATAGATTTCAAAAGGACTTGAATTTATTAAACAGATTTTGATTCTTTGAGAAAATAAAAGGGAAAAAAAGGTTGGAAGCCTACAATATTTGTTTTGGAGCATCAGCCCTCCTTGAGGTCTCCCAGCTACAAGGCAAGAGACATCAGGGCCCACTTACAAAAGAGTCACCCAATTTGCCCCGCCCCCCGAGAAAGAGAGAGAGGTGAAAGCAATTGTAGCCGGTCTTTACAAAGCAAAAGGTTTGGTGACATCAAAAGTCATTTGGACTTACTTTCTTCAGGGAGATAATACACGTTATGTTCTGGCCTATTTGCTTTTTACGAAGATGGGGCTTAACTGTTTTGTTTGAAAGAATGCTATTTTGTTAAACATATTGTAATAATCTCTCTTTATAAATTTACATAGGACAGACAAGGTATTGATTACATTTATGTTTAAACAGAAAATAGGCAAAGATTAAAAATTTGAATTAGGGAAAATCAATTATAAAATTTTGAAAAAGTAGCAACTGGGTAAAAAGTGAAATACACAAGAAGCTAAACTTTACAAAATAGAAAATAAGGAAAGTTAACAAAAGTTATATAGGTAAGGGACACTCTCCTCTCCATCACAATCCTGCCACACAGCAAGCCTTAGTCTCCCTAATGTCTATGCCTCCACATCCTTCCCTCTCTAGTGCCTTTCCCCATCTGACTTTTCCATTCTCCTCAATGTCCCTTCTCCCCTTCTTTCATTTTCCTACATCCTTGTTTATTTTAATTCCCCTATCCTGCCATAATCCTCATCCCACCTCTATCCTATAAAAAAGTAAAATAAAAATATAATGTGTAACAATCACCAGCTCGATCATTTTTGTTACATCTCTTACCCCAATCTGTCATCTGTTTGAGTCTTTTTTATTATTTGCTCTTCAGAACAGTGACTGCATCTTGGTACAGTATGTTTGCATAGTGTTTAGCGTGATAGGTTCCAGATTCTGATTAGAAATTAAATAATAATCTGATTCCATAAGAACGTCAATACCTTAAAAAAAAGGAATGTATTGCCTGATTCAATTAGAGCAAATGTCTTTCTCGTCAAAGTTACACTAACTCCATAAACAGCCATATGCATTTAAAATTGGATTTAGTGTTTTCACTAGGGAAACCACAGAGTGAAAGAGGGTTTTCTAAAACTCACATTATAATCTCACTTAAGTGCTTCAAACAGAAGAGTCAGGGCAATTTATTATTTTACTGTCTACAAAATAAGTTTAATAAATTGAATATAAAGTAGGTTTTGTCATATCTAAAGCTTCCTAAAACTAGAATGGGTCATTTTGTTTATTTCTATGCTATTAAGTTCACAGATAAATAAATACTCCCTTCAGTTACTTCAAACCAAGCATTTTTTCATTTCTGCATTTACAAACTGCAAAGTAAAATTCATCATGTGCAAAGCACAATTAAATCTGTTAGCAATAAGTGAGTATCCCACCTACGGAAGTACACAACTACTCTATCTGGGTAAAACATGGAGGGATTAGCACAGGGGCAGGGGGCAAATCAATATCACGTGGTACAGACAGAGTATAGTTATTTCAGGGGAAATCCAGTGATTAATTTATATCTATGTACTGGAAAACATACACATTGAATATAGGAATTTTCAATACTGTTTTTGGAAATCATTTCTATTTCAGTACCCAATTCAAGTGAAAGGTGCTTAAGGTGCTCACTATAAAAGGGAGCATACAATTTGCCACTACATCACCACACTGGCCTTGCTGCTAAAAATAGAATGAAATATAGGACATTTATCTTACAACTGAAATGAACACAAAATTTAAGATTTTCCACAGTCTGTCAAAAGTTTGGTGTTACTTTAACACTAGTTTAACCATTCTTCAGTTAACCACTCTTTCAAAAATACCACTGAACTTACAAATAACTGAAAGTCTGATTTCCCATTTATTCTAATCCTGAAGTGCATTTTCTGTGTCTAAGAATTAAAAACATACAACAGAGCAGAAAATTTTACAATTTATACACTTCCTAAAGAACTATCTAAAATGACTAGAAATTATTCACAGCTATTAATTACAATAAAATACACAAAAGAGTTTATTAAAAAAACATCTGGCCAACGTTCCGGGCAGGGGAAGAAGGCCCCTATGCGATTAGCCCTGGAAAGAGGTTTGAGTTGCACAGCACTTGTGCAGACTCTAAACATTCAAATCCATGAGGGGGAGTGCTCCTACCCACCCAGCAAGACATTGTTTTCTAGAAGATTCTTGAATATCAGCATCCCCGTTGTACATATCTTACACATGGGGAAACACAGAGACAGTTCTCAAAGTACACTGTCATATCTGTGTTGGCTGACTAACAGCTCAAGCCCTTCAACACTAATGATATGCACTGAGCCACAGCCATCATTCTGGATAACTCAGAGCTGTACCTATGGCTAATAGACCAGGGTCCTCCTCTCTATCCTGATACAGCATGTGCAGTCTTCTCCAACAGATTTATTCACCAGAGCCATGTCCTTTGTTAATTTGGGATAGTAGGCCAACTAAAGGAGAATTTTAATTAAGCAAGACCTACAGCATTAACAAACTATACATACTTTGTACATGCACCCCTGGTAGATTGAACTCCATGTTTAGTGCACTACATTAGTTTCATTTTCCTATGGAATTTCCTTTAGTTTAAAAGCATTCTTCAGCACGATACTATACAGTACCATGGTAAATGCCTTAGGTGCCGACTCTATGCTCCGGGACTCTCACACTCATGGGAAAAAAATAGTGGGTGCTCAGCACCCACCAGTCACAGCTGTTTGGCAGCAGGGGGAGGGCGGAGAGCAGCTAGTGCCAGGGGCCTCGGGGGAGGGGTTGGAGTGGGGATGGGAAGAGGCGGAGCGAGGGTGGGGCCTTGGAGGAAGAGGCAGAGTAGGGGCATGGCAGGGGTGGAGCACTTCCAGGAAAAATAAAAGTCAGTGGTAAATGCCATTTAAAAAGTTGATGTTTTCATGCTAGAAACAGAAAGAAGAGCGCACATAAGTCACTCACTGCATTTATATTAACCAAATTACAACAAGAGAAAGAAAAATGTTGCTAGCATACTTTATGTAAATTGCTTGAAATAAGCTTACCAGACAGTTGTTTCCATTTGACTGTCATTTAGTTGTCGATTGTCTAACTGGGCAAAGAGAGGAAAAAGAACTTGAATCCCTCCAATCGAATGAATTGCACTGTGAATTGAGTGGGTTACTATAGCTTTCACATCCTATATTAAAAATCAAAAAAAAGTTTCTCAGTGTTAGTTTGTATTTGCCATTATCACATTTTACCATAAATGTCTAATAATTAAAAACTAGTTACCAATGGCGCTTCAAAGACAAAATGATTTACTGTGCTTTTTATTTTCTGTCAATTTAGTCTAAATGCTATAATCTCTTTTCATAACTTAAAGCCATCCAAATATGTAAACAAACACCACAAAGTTATGTTTCACACAAAGTCTATACAGGTAACACATACTGTAAGGTTCCTGTGGCCATTTTGCCACAAAAGGTGTTATTAAAAAATTAGGGCTGTCAAGCAGTTAAAAAAAAATTAAGCACAATTAAACAATATTATAATACTATTAATTTAAATATTTTTGGATGTTTTCTACATTTTCATATATATTGATATTAATCACAACACAGAATACAAAGTGTACAGTGCTCACTTTATATTTTTATTACAAATATGTGCGCTGTAAAAAACCAAAAGATAGTTCTTCAATTCACCTCATACAAGTACTACAGTGCAATCTCTATCATGAAAGTTGAACTTACAAATGTAGAATTATGTACAAAAAAACTGCATTCAAAAATAAAATAATGTAAAACTTTAGAGCCTACTCAGTCCTATTTCTTGTTCAGCCAATCGTTCAGAGAAACAAGTTTGTTTACATTTGCAGGAGATAATGCTGCTCACTTCTTGTTCACAATGTCACTTGAAAATGAGAACAGGTGTTCGCATGGCACTGTTGTAGCCAGTGTCACAAGATATTTACATGCCAGATGCGCTAAAGATCCATATGTCCCCTCATGCTTCAACCACCATTCCAGAGGACGTGTCCATGCTGATGATGGGTTCTGCTCAAAAACAATCCAAAGCAGTGCAGACCAACCCATGTTCATTTTCATCATCTGAGTCGGATGCCACCAGCAACAGGTTGATTTTCCGTTTTTGGTGGTTCGGAGTCTGTAGTTTCGCCATTGGAGTGTTGCTCTTTTAAGACATCTGACAGCATGCTCCACACCTCGTCCTGCTCAGATTTTGGAAGGCACCTCAGATTCTTAAACCTTGGGTCAAGTGCAGTAGCTATCTTTAGAAATCTCACATCGGTACCTTCTTTGCATTTTGTCAAATCTGCACTGAAAGTGTTCTTAAAAGGAACAACATGTGCTGAATCATCATCTGAGACTGCTATAACATGAAAGATATGGCAGAATGTGGGTAAAACAGAGCAGGGGACATTGAACTCCTTGGGGGAGAATTGGGTCACAAATTGAATTAATGCATTTTTTTTTAAACAAGTGTCATATGCTTGGAAGCATGTCCTCTGTAATGGTGGCCGAAAGGGCATATGAATGTTGGCGTATTTGGCACGTAAATACCTTGCAATGCCGGCTACAAAAGTTCCATGTGAATGCCTGTTCTCGCTTTCAGGTGACATTGTAAATAAGAAGAGGGCAGCATTATCTCCCATAAATGTAAACAAATATGTTTGTCTTAGCGATTGACTGAACGAGAAGTAGGACTGAGTGGACTTGTAGGGTCTAAAGTTTTACATTGTTTTGATTTTGAGTGTAGTTATGTAACAAAAAAATCTACATTTGTAAATTACACTTTCACAATAAAGACATTGCACTACGGTACTTGCATCAGGTGAATTGAAAAATACTATTTCTTTTGTTTATCATTTTACAGCGCAAATATTTGTAATAAAAAATAATAATATAAAGTGAGCAGTGCACACTTTGTATTCTGTGTTGTAATTGAAATCAATATATTTGAAAATGTAGAAAAACATCCAAAAATATTTAATACATTTAAATTGGTATTGTATTGTTTAACAGTGTGATTAAAACTGCGATTAATCGCAATTAATTTTTTTTGAGTTAATTGCATGAGTTAACTGCAATTAATCCACGAGTTAACTGCAATTAATCCACAGCCCTATTAAAAATGCTTTAACCACAGAATGCTTTAGTTGGTCAATTTTAATTTAAAACTGGACCTATTCAAACTTCTTGGTTTCATTACCTATATATTTCGCTCAAAATGACTGGGCTGGAAAATAGGCAAGCATTAAACTGATAGCCCTCAACATATAATTTGACAAACTACTGTTCATTCCGTAATACACACATTTCTTTAATGCATCATTAATAATTTTGGCTCAAGAAAACAAGTGAAAAAGTAGCTAGGTGCGAATGATAGCTACTCATATTTAAAAACAAACAAATGTTAATCTAGAACTAAAGCAATGCTAAATGAAAACAGCAATGGCAGCACCATACTATATCATCATACAAGATGTAGATTGGGGAGAGATTGCAGAATTTTTGTGTTAGCAGAGTTTGGCCTACACACGAGATACTTCTGGAGAAGTATAGTTACATACATCTTGCTAAACAATGCACCTCAAACAATTAATAGGTTATATAGTTGATGATAGCCATAGAAGCGACAGTGTTTGCTGTCCTTCATGCTGAAGGAAAGATACAGAAATGTTAGCCAGTACAAAAGGAAGGAAAATCCATGGGTTAAATGGAGAAAATGACAGCCTCAGTCAGATGAGGTGTCAAAGGGGCCAATGGATACCTCGGAAAGACTACACACACACTAAAAGATAATACTACTAATTAGAAACAGACACTCAATCACACTTTGGCAGCCTGTATTGCTGTAAGCTACATTAACAAAAATATGAAAATAAAGAACCAATATAAACGAACCTGAAGCATAAGAGCATGTGGAGAGTGTACAAAAATTGAAGGGTTTTCCTTTGGCGAGGATTCAAGGCATAGTTGAGCATCAGTAGCCTTAGCATTGTAAGTAAAGGCAATACTACTTGCAAGTTTCCCATCATATAGAACTTGTTTGTGGTGCTCAGCCAGATGAATATCACTCTCAGATTTAAATTTGAAAGTACTCTGGAAAAAAAAAGTGACTTGAAACATGTATATTTTAAATGAATAATAAAAATTGCATGTCACACGATCTGTTTATTGTATTATATGACGGAAGGGCAGGCAAGCAATACAGAATCTATCATTAAACTATATTTTGTATTTTCTGCTGGTTTTGAAATGTTTTCATACATTTAAGCCACAAATTTATATCTTGAATGTTATTACCATTAGTAATGTAAAACTGGGATAGGGTAGGGAATCATTTTTTCAACCTAAAAGAACAAATCAAAGTATTTACTACACGCTACTATTAGCATGTCATTTTGTTCATTTATCTGGTATGATTTATTCTTCTAGGCAGCAGCATTAATGTTTTAACAGGTTGCAATTAATCTATGTTTCAGAAAATGCATCACAAAAAGCAGATATAAATCTGTTAATATTAACAGTAATACAGTATACACCTTCCAATTATTCAGGATAATAAAAGTTTAATGATCTAAAAATTATTTGTATTACTTGTTCTTTACTTGCGAATCTTTTTTTCCAAACTAAACTCTTACTTTGTTATACTGGCAATCCATGTTAAACAAAGATCATTTTTCAGTGACACCATTCAGAATTGCCAAAGATATTAAAAACTGCTTACATGCTGTATGTATGGGTTCTTGTGTTTTCAACAGATTTTCATATGTTCTTAATCTTGCTTCTTTCACTTTTTACCAATTACATTACATGTTTACCAAGTCCAAAGAAAATATTTTAATGGAAGAGCTTATACATGCATACTTCCCATGGCTTCTACCAATATCTTTTTGATTTAATGGAAAGGGGTTTTATAAAACAGCATGCATCCCATGCTTCATTAACTAACAGACAGTAACACATTCCCAGGAGCTACCGATGTGAAAAACTACTTACAACAATAATAATAAAAAAACAAAACAAAAAATTTTTTTCCAAATGTCAGATTTCAAGAATAATGATTTTCAAAGTTAAGGGAAGACTGGAAATTTGTATTACTCTTAAATATATTGTGATTCTTATTTGATTCAAAACCATGTTTTCTGGCAACACTGTCAAACTGACCAAGCATGAAGAGATACATTCATTTCCTTCTGCAACAAGCTGTCAGCTTTACTTGACTTACTACTTTAGCATGTTATAATCATTTGACAGCTGCAGGAAGGCAACTAGTGGTAAAACACAGTATCCATAAAAATAAACTAAAATTGTTAAAAATTACCATTTAAGTAATGAAGTTTGAATTTCAATATAATGATTTCTAAAAACATCATTTATATTAAATAATCTGTTCTGAAGGCTAATCAAATTCACATTGCTCAAACTGCATATAACCAACCACATTTTAAAATGTGCAACATTTTTATCACTTTCTGTCCTCCTCAACTTCTCCCATTTACACCCCCACCAGCACTCCCACCCAGTGCTGTATGTAATAATTAGATCAGGGAACTGGTGGCATGCTATCCAAGTCCACTGATGTCCAGGCTAGTAGCAAACAAAGACAATTTGTAGGAGGCTCCTCGCCCCCTTCCCACAAATTGCATTTTCTTACAAATATACAGCTATTCTTCATGTAATGCAGCTAATTTTTGCTGATAATGCTACCTAGACCTCACTTATCAGTTAATAAGGATAGTTATATTACCTCACAAACATCTGCCTGAGAAAAAGGGAGTACGTCTTTTAAAAAAATGGGACAATTTCTTTAAATGTACAGATAATTAAAGTATTCTATTTGTTGCCCCTCCCCCAGTGTCAAAAGCAGTGGTTTACATATTGAGCAAACCTACATTTGCCTTTTCGTTGATTTCACAAAAAATTTGCATTCCAGCTTCTGACATGTTTTTAAGTTTTACTACCATATGAAATCTCTTCCTACAAAGAAAAAAAAAAAAAGCCATACCCTTGAGTTTTTTTCATGGAGCAAAAACCCATTTTTTTCTTTAAATACTTTGCCAAATTTCTAGGTTTTGCAGCTATAAGCATGGCAGACAGTTTAATATTATTATTTGACCTTTACATTTTGGTAGCATTTCGAGGCCTAAATCAGATGGATTTAGACACAGAAAAATGGCAAAACTCTACACCATTTTTGTCACTAAGTGGTTATAGATTTTTAACATAACTCTTTAAAGTAATTTCAGTAGCTTCTTATTACTCTAATATCTACTGTTTCTGAGCATTAGGAAACTTGTTATCCAGTTCAAAGTTTACCAGAAATCTAAACTTCTAACCACTTAAATCTTATATCATTGAATAATGGAAAGACAAAAGCAATTTAAACTGAAATTACAAGACACATTTGACTTAATACTTGAGGAGAAATAAGGGCTCAACCAGGGAGAGGAAAGTAGGAATGACAGATCAAGGAAAGAAGCCCTGCAGTCACACAGCTAGTATCTTATTTTAAAACAAGTCCTCTGATAACCTTGTTAAAATACTACTAATTGAAAAGGTGAGTTTTGTTTTGTTTTTGTTTTTAAATTAAATACTTACCTGCTGAGAAAAAAAAAACAAAATGAAAAGGAATGATTGAGGATGAGTAGAGAGGAAAAGAATGATTGTCCAACATTTTAGGATCTTCCAACCCATTTGGACTTTTTCATTATATTGGACCCAGAGACCAGAATAATTTAGTTAGATCTAGTGTGAACACTCCCTATTACTGTTTGCAGCAGGTTCTATGAACATTTTATTCAGAATTCAATGCCCTGAATTTCAAAAAGGTTTAGGTTCAAACAAACCCATTTTATTAATAAGTTTAAGATCTGTGCTGCCTACTGGTTTACACTGGTTCAAAAGAGAATTAATGTTCTAGATCACTGCCTGAAAGCCAGACACACACAAGTTAGACATCTCTCTTGCACTTTGTCAGGCTTCTGACAACAGCAGATAGGAAGCTTTTGCTTGAAGGAAGTGATCATAACCTGGAGCTCCCATAAGATCCACACTCGGAATCATCATCAAGGTAGGGGAAGAAACACAATAAATGCTTCTACATAATACTTTGTTACCTATATTGCTAATTGTTAGTCGGGGCCGGCTCTAGGCACCAGCATTCCAAGCATGTGCTTGGGGCAGCACTTTTCAAGGAGCGGCACTCTGGCCCTTTTTTTTTTTTTTTTTTGCTTGAGGCGGCAAAAAACCTGGAGCCGGCCCTGTTGTTAGTATCATGCGGGAAAAGACTCACTGTAGCACTGACGTCCCACTTGGTAAGACAACTCCCATCTTTTCATGTGCTGTAATATTTATACTGCTTTCTGTATTTTTCACTCCATGCATCTGATGAAGTGGAAAGCTTATGCCCAAATACATTTGTTAGTCTCTAAGGTGCCACAAGGACTCTTCATTGTGTATGCACACAGAAAACACACTGACTATTTATATTGCACTAGAGCAGGGGTAGGCAACCGATGGCATCCGTGCAGAAGGCGGCACACGAGCTGATTTTCAGTGGCACTCACACTGCCCAGGTCCTAGCCACCGGTCCGGGGGGCTCTGCATTTTAATTTAATTTTAAATGAAGCTTCTTAAATATTTTTAAAACCTTATTTACTTTACATACAACAAGTTTAGTTATATATTATAGACTTATAGAAAGAGACCTTCTAAAAATATTAAAATGTATTACCGGCACGCAAAACCTTAAATCAGAGTGAATAAATGAAGACTCGGCACACCACGTCTGAAAGGTTGCCGACCCCTGCACTAGAGCAAATGGCATATATCTGTGATGTTGGCCCATGGAGAGCTTCCATGTCTTCACAAGGTGTGGCCCTTTCCCCATACATGCAAAGAGAGCTGCTCTCGTGTTGGTTTCTATTCATGTTATCTGGACTGAATTTAAAAAAAGCATAGACAAGGACACAAACATTTTAAAAGGTAAATTTAATAGGATAGCAGTAATTTCCTAAAATATCCCACACTGTAGCATCTGTTGATCCTACTCAGAAAAGGTTAAATGCGGTCTACTGTCTCACACAAGCCAAAAAGTCATTAATCCTTGTGGGAACAAGAGGTGGGAATGGCTCCATGAGCAAAGAGGATGGAGGGTGTGGGCTGAGGTCTCCCAAGAGAAGAGCTGTAGCTTCAACTTTCTCCCCAGGCTTCATTGCTTCTAATCTTGGTTCTCTTATTTGTGTTTTCTTTATTAATGAAGACAAGCACCAGGAATAGGGTAAATTTGCAATTTAAATAATATGCATATACTTGTATAGCAGTTTGGGAGAGGCGCCAGATCACACTGCACTGGATAGGGGTGAAATTTGTTTGTGCTGACTAACTTTTAATGATGTATGATGAGAGTCTGAAGAGTTTAAGAGATTATGAGTAGAGCTGGGCAAATTTTTTTTGGTGAATAGTAAATTTGCCAAAAAATTGATTTTTCAGGGCACTGAAACTATTCACAAATTTGGGTCAAATTCAGTGAATAATTTGTCTATTTTTTCCCTGAAACGTAACACTCAAATCACGTTATTTAACCGGGATGATTTTTTTTTGTTTCAGTGATAAAAAATGAGTTTTGATTTGAAACTCATCTTTTTTCAGGATTTTTCAGTTCAACTGCCAAACCAAAAATCAATTATTTGCTTAGCTCGAATTTTGAGAAATTGTGGGGAGGGTGGTTAAAATTTATTCAACTTTTTTGTACTGTTGAAATACAATGTCACATGTTGTTCTCTGTTTTAGGCAGACAACTAAAGAACTGTACTGAGAGCCCTCAATGGAAGGCATGGAGGATTTTAAAATTTCACAAGGAACCTCATTCATAAGCACTTAGTGTTAAATACTGTAGATGTTTCTTGTTTAAATAAAAATATTTTAACCAATCCAAATAGAAATTCCTCCCTCTTCTCATTTATTTGCACTTCTGCCACTCTTCAGTCCTCCAGCACAAACAGGGAAAGTCAAGAGCTAGCATATCTAGAGTGGAAAAAGACAGGGACGAAAAACATTTCAAGCCTATTTTGTAAAACAAAAGCAGCAAAAAGGGC